TTGAAAAAATGCCCTTTATGAGAATGAGGTTGGTTCAAAAAAAAAAAAAATTGTGAATTTCCAAAAAAAAACCAAAAAAAAAAAAAGAAAAAAAAATAGAAAGTGAAAAGAGATGATAAATCAATCACTTTATATCAATATTGCCGCAAAAGCACTTGTGTAACATACCGTAGAACAAACAAACAAAAAGTCTAACCGATGAACCCATGCTTACGAGTGAAAAAATTAAAAATCAAATCAGACGACAATATATATGAACATAATGATGATTGTCACATTACCATTTTAATCGATAATGATCATCATCATCATTGATCATAATGAACGTACATGCAAAACAAAAAATTGTTTCTTTATCCTTTTATGTTATGTGAAAAAAAAACCAAAAAATAAAATTCCTGGAATTCACACTTTTTTTTCATGTTCATTGTCGGTATACAATTATAGTTTCATTTCAATCAAATATATTTGATAATGAAATTTGAATTTGATAACCGAAAACAAAAATCGATAAAAAAAAGAAAGAAAGAAAGTTTTTATTTTTCAAATATTTAATTTTATCATTTTTTTTAATCATCATCGATTGATCATCATCACGATATCACCAAATCAATCAATCAATCAATAGTTAATATAAATATGAAAAAACAAAAATTCCAAGAAATACTTGATCATAGGTTCTTTTTTTTCTTCCAGGGAAATATCCACCTGACCTAATGTATATAGATGAATTGAATGAATAAATAAATATTTTTTTTTTTATAAATCCAATTCATTCCTATGTGTATTTTTCTTTCTTTCTTTCTTCAATATTGATTATTTGATTGAAACATTGACCGCATTCGATTGATTAGTCTCCCAATTCGATCGATTGAATTTATCATTTTCATCATCATCATCATCATCAACGATTGATTTTGTTTACTTAATTAATAAATCCAAATGTTTGATTCATATATCAACAGCGACGTTTGTTTGCTTTGAATTGAAAATTTTCAACAAAAAAAAAAAAAAAAAAAAATGAAAATCCTATTCCATCCGTTAGAATCCTGGGGCCATATGAATGCTTCGATCGGTGTTGCACAAATCATGTTCAAACGTGGTCATCAGATTATTTTTGCTATAACTGAAAATGTTCGTGGTCAATTTGAAAAACATGGTTTTGAAGAAATTATTTTACATACAATATCTACACCTTCGTTATCAAATTATCAACAAAATGATTGTGTTGATTTTCTACTGAATTCTACGGATTTATTTCGTGAAAAAGATCCATTTAAAAAATATTCAATGTTTCAAAAAGTTTTCGAAATTCGTGCACAAGAAATTTTACAAACCGAACAACAATTGAAAAAAATTCTTAATGATGAACAACCAGATTTAATATTAGTTGATCAAATACTAATATCACCAATGATAATTCAATCGGGTATTCCATGGATATTGATTTTTAGCTGTAATCCGTTGTCATTTCGAAATGATAATCGTTTACCGCCACCATTTTCAGGTAAAATTTAAATTTTCAAACAAAAAATGGCGGGAATTTTTTTTGAATTTCAATTATTTTATTGTGAATTTTTTTTCTTTTTTGTTGCCTATTTTATTTCAGGATTACCTACTAATGATCAATCATTATGGCAAAAATATCGTAATGAATTTCAACGTACATATCATCATTATGTTTTAAGTAATCAAAATTTTCTAATGAAATATTTTGGTTTTGAAACACTTGAATATAATGGTATAACACCACCATCACCATATCTAAATATTTATGGTTATCCGGAAGAATTAGATTATAATAAAATTGCACCAATGCCCGATAATTGTTTTCGTATCGATACATTTTGTCGTATGGAAAATGAAAATTTTGAAATTGATCAGGAATTTTTAAAACGTTTACAACCAAATTCGAAATTAATTTATATTTCATTAGGAACATTAGCATCAATACGTTTTGATATGATTAAAAAATTTTTAATGATTTTATCTAAAACTAAACATGGTTATATTGTTTCGAAAGGTAGATTTGATGATGGATTCAAATTACCATTGAATATGTTTGGTGATGAACATTTACCACAGACTAAAGTATTACCTTTAGTTGATTTAGTTATAACACATGGTGGTAATAATACTGTTACTGAATCATTATTTTTTGGTAAACCAATGATTTTAATGCCATTTTTTGCCGATCAATATGATAATGCACAACGTTTACATGAATTAGGTTATGGTTCAAGATTAGATCCATTTAATTATCAACAAAATGAATTAATCGAACAAGTTGAACGTTTATTATTTGATCAACAAATCAATCAACGTTTAAAAAATTTATCCAAACGTATGCAAACATCAAATTTACGTGAAAAATTATCGAAAAATTTGGAAAAAATTGTCAACGAATTTAAATCATCAAATGACAAAGCAAATCGAAATAATCTATAATTAAGTGAATGAATGGAAACCCTCCTAAACGTCTAATCTATCTAATATAACAAACTACAGAAAAACACTAACTAACTATTTATTATAATGAAAAGAAAAAGAAAATCTTAAATACTTTTAATTAAAATTATTATTATTTTGTTTTAATATATCCACCCATTTACAACTTTTTTATTCTTTGATTTACTATCAAATCAAATCAAATTTTTCAAACTGTATATAGGTTTTTTTTTTGCCCTGTTTTGTCATTAGTTATATAAAACAAAATACATCGATCTGCGAAGAAAAAAACCGATCGATATGAATTATGAAACAACTTTACAGCGGAAAGAAAAAACATGGATTTTTTTCCTTTCCCATCGGTTAAAAACGGTTATGTTTATTTTGTGTTCTGGTTTTTTTTAATGTGAAAAACAAAAAAAAAACCAACAAAGATTGAGCCCTAAATGAATATAAAAAAAATATATATGGAAAACAAATCTGGAGAACCATTTTTGCACAGACACAGAGATATATTTCAATGTTTTTCTTCAATTGTTGTAAATATATAGAGAGGAAGAATTTTTTTGAAATGAACTTTCAAAACAAAACAAAATAAAACAGAAAAAAATTGTGTCAGGCGTTTTTTTGGTCCTGAATAATTCTTTTGATTCTTCAAATAGCCCTAGACACATTTATATATAGATAGATAGATGAGATACATTTCATTTTCTGGAACTTCTATATTCTAGGATTCTTCCTCTATATATAAATTCTCTTCATTTTAAGTTCTATGTTCGGGTATATTGAATAACAATTTAATGTTGTTGTTTTTGTATGATGATAATGATGTTGTTGTTGTTGTTGATTAGGGCCTAGAGAAATAATTTTTTGTTTTTCTTCGATGTTATTTATTAATTATAATTCAAAAGAAAAAAATTGCTTGTTTGTCTTCGGTGTGTGGTGTGTCAAATTTTGAAGAAGAAGAAAAAAGAAAATGATGAATGACATAATCAAAATGTCCAAATCAATTCAGAATCAGAAACATTTTAATAATCATCATGATGATTACCATGATTGTCAGTGTCAATCAACGACAACAAAATCATCATCACCATCGTCAGCTTTAAATCAATCAACACAAAAATATTTAAAAATTTCAATGAACATTTTTAATAATTTCTCATTAATTCAATCCATTTTCATCATTTTTACATTATTATTTGTATTAATAATTTACTTACCAAAGTAAGTATATTATACCTCTAAAGGGAAAATTCCGAAAACAAAATGAACAGACAAACAATCGAATGTTTATACAAAAAATCTGAATTTATTTGAAATTGGAATTTACAAATGTTTTTGTAAAAAAAAAACTAAACACAGAATCTGGTCTTAAATGATTTTTTTTTCATTTTTTTTTCTTCAAAATTCTGTCACCCAGTGTTCAAAGTCAAGCTGATATACGACAAGTTGAGAAAAAAATATTGGATAAAATTATTGGTGAAGGTTATGATTCAAGAATTCGTCCATCCGGTTCATTAAATCAAACAGTAACTAAACGAGGTTTGTCGCTGCTTTTTTGTTGTTGTTGTTGTTGTTGAAAATGTGGCTAATCTTTTTATTAATTTTTAAAAAAATGCAGATGGACCAGCAAATGTAACAATCAATATATTGATACGATCCATTTCAAGTATCGATGATGTAACAATGGTAAGTTTTTTAAATTTTTGAAAATTTTACATGTTTTGTCAATGTAAATGTGTTTGTCTATTATGTAATCATCACATTTCTTTTCTTAAACATCAATCAAACAATCAATCAAAAAATTTTTTTTTTTTTTTACAATTTGAAATTCACATGATATATAATATTGTTGTCGAACATATCAATTCATTTTAAATCAAGACGTTTTTTCTTTCTTTCGATGACCTAAGAAAAAATAGAAAAGAAAAAAAAATAGAATAGAAATGTAAGGGAAAAAAATGAGAAAAAAAATGCAAATGAATGGATGTTATAATAAAATTTATAATAATAATAATAATGTAATAAGTTATTTCTTTTTTTTTAAATGAGAATAATTAATTAAAAATGTACTATTTTGATTAGCGTAATAAAATATTACAATTGGCTGCTTCACAACGACAATCCATTGGTAATGATTCAGTTAATGAATAATGATAATCCCAACATAATTCTTCAAATGGATTTATATCACGAATAGCAAATAGACCATATGTTGGTACTAATTGTCCATGACCATTTTCAATGACAACTTTTTGTGAGAATAGATTCGGACTACAGGAATGATTTACATAACAAACTAGATTTGATTCGGATAAACCTTCCAATAGCATTGTTTTTGATTCGTTTTCATCTGTTTAAATAAATAAAAAAAATTTTGATTTTGAATACAAACATAAGATTAAATAAATACTGACCACAATATTCAGGCGGTTCATAAATTCGTAATATACCATCATTATTTTTATCGATTAATCCAATAGTTGCTGTATATTCATCAGAACCAAGTTTTTTTTCTTTATGATATTGTGCCATACTTAATTCACCAACATAAGAAAATACATAGGTTCCTTTCGAAATGAAATGTGTAGCACGTACAGCCCAACCTTTCATACCGGAATAAAATACTTGAAATTCACATTGAATACCGAGGCTAACAACTTTGTTAAAACAATGTATTGAACAGCCACATTTTGATGAACATTCATAAATTGGATTAGATGAATAAATAAATAATCGTTTATAACGATAACTTATTTCCTTTTAAAGTTGAAAGAAATATAATGAAAAGTTTTTTTTTGAGCATAAAATTGTAAAACATACCTCTGACGAACATTTACAATTATTATGACAAAGTGATGAACTACAATTACATTGATTAATATTATCGACAATATTTTTAATATTTTGATATGTTCTTGGTTCATAAACGGAATTATTAATATAACGACGACTAGATGAAAATTGATCATTTGTAATTGAATTAATTGCCAATATCGGTATCGATTCAAGACCATTGGAAATGTCTTTAATAGTAACAGCTTTTTCTCGTATGGATAATTTTTGTAAAACAAAATTTTTTGAAAATGTGAAATTAAGAGTTGTGAGATCCATGCATTGTGTTAGTAGAAGATATTTTTGTATGGCTTCTATTGATGATAATAGTTTACCACAAGGTGAAATATAACAGATATCAATCGAATGTCTAGTTGGATTTTTTACAGCTATACGTGCAAAATTTTGCACCATAGGTTTTAGATAAGGATTTTTTGATCGTCGTAACTCCAATTGACCAATATCATTGGCATATAATCGAAGACAATTCGGTGAACAAATGTGTGCTGCAATAACATTAGGCGGTTGTTTTGCACAACGTTCTTTAATACGATTAAGTATTATGAACATAAAATTTTGATCAACATCATCACCATAAGTTTTTTCATCATTATCATTATCGATAACAACGTTATAAGGCAAATTATCCATATTTTTTTTGGTGATAATACCAAACTACTTTACTGTTTTTTTTCCGAAATGACAGCCAATTCAAAAAAATATGTTGTCAAAAATGAGCATTTTTTCCAGCGCCTGATTGCACATTGCAGGCTCACTAATGTCGAAATAGAAATTTTAAATTTTTTTTTTAGAAAAATGATTTCTTTATTGCATAATTAATGAGAACAAACAGGAAAAAAAATTCATTAATCAATCAACAATCAATAATAATATTTAATTGAATATAAACAAAAATTCATAATAAAAAAAATTGATGAATCGATGATCAATGTTGACCTTTATCATCATTGACAACATCATGACATGAAACATTCGAATCGATCGTTTTATTATTATTATTATCATCTTCATTATCATTCATCATCACTATAGGCGGTGATGATGAAGATGACGATGATGATGATGATGGCGATAGTTGTTGATAATTAAATTTCTTATTATCAATAACCACTTGCCATTGTATCCATTGTTGAATAGACTGATCAATCTTACGATCTTGTAGGCCGAAACATTGTACAATTAGATTGGTTTGTAATTGATTTTCCATCGATGGTGATAATAATAAACATTCACCATTTTGTACAAGAATTTTCGATGATGATGATAATGATGTAGTTATGTTGGATGATGTAGGATGATGATGATGATGATGATGATGAAGATGATCATTATCATCCGGTATGACTAGTGTTGAGAAACGTTCGACAAACAAACGAATTGTACGAAGAATATCGCAACGTTGATTAGCCCATGTACTCCAACCGATACCATATTTCCAAAATGTTACATAATGTTCACTATTCAATAAGGTTTTATGATAACGTACATAACAATCTTTTGATTCCATCAATATATTTCGTATATGTTCAACATTAGGCATAACATTTAATGTTTTGTTTAAAATTTTTTCACTAAATTTTTCCTGATTTCTGAGCTGATAATCGATCGATATTTTTGATGATTTTATTTGTCCATCACGACGTTGGCCACCATTTCGTTGTAAATGTCGTTCTTCCGTTTCAAACATTATCTGTGTAATGATCATATCTAATGGTTCATGTCGTATGATACCAACATTACGATGATCATCATCAAGCAATACCATACGATGAAATGGTTTTACATGAAAACACCAAATAATTGGTGTTGTTTGTTGTGATTGAATTCGTTGTTGTTGATGATCAATATGATCAACATAAACATAATGAAATTGTTCACTACAATAATCACTATTTAATGTTGATGAATCGTTATTCAATATATTTGATTCAATTATAGTTGATTTTTGATCATTATTATAATCATCATAATAATCATCATCATCAACTGAACCACGAACACAAGAACGTCCAACTAACCATAAATTTGATAATTGAAAAAGATTACGTTTATTATGATGATTATCACGTGATTGTTTTTGTTTATTTGTTCGACAAATCGAATGTCCATGAATGGTCATTGATTTTTGATAATTTTGTCGATAAATAAAACTTTGTCGATGTAATGATCGACGAAATCTTTGTCGATTATATGAATGTATTGTTGTTGTTGATGAACGTATAAATTGTTGTACATTTTTACCCAATAATGGTGAACGTTGACAATTACAAACACAACGAATTTCAATTAGATCACCATTACATAATTTTTGTAATAATAATGAAGATTTTTTTGTATATTCAAATTTTTTTATAATCGATGATTCTAACGATAATCGATTGTTATTATTATTAATAGTGTTCGAATTCGGATTTGATGAATGTCGTCGTAAAATAAATTGATTCATCATTGATGATTTATCAATATTATTTATTGTATTAAAACTATTTGTTTGTGGATGATGTTTTCGTAGTCGTTTTGTTGTAATCTTATTATTTTGATCTTGTTGTTGTTGTTGATTATTACAACAACAATCATCACTATGATCATCGGAAATTGATGCATTGCCACTATCATTATCCAATGGTAAAAGTGATGATGATGATGATGGTGGTTGTGGTAACAATATTGATGATGATGATGATGATGACATTTCATCATCCACTTTATTATCGATAATGATTGAATTTGATATTGATTTATTGATACAATCATAATTATTATTATTATTTTGATTATTTTGATGATTAGATGATGATGATGTTTCAACACTTGAATCATCAATATATTTAAGATGATCAAATTGATTATTATCACAATAATTATTTAAATAATGATTAGTATCATCTTCTTTATGTTGATGATCATGATGATGATCATGATGATAATCATCATCGGTATTGGCAATAACTGAAAACTGGAATTCAATATCCGAAGATGTTGATGTTGATGGTGATGGTGATGGTAATGGTGATATTTGATTATCATTCACCATATTATTCGATGATGGTGATGATTGTTGTTGTTGTTGTTGTTGTGTAATTTTCAATTTCGATACGGGCACACCCATTTTTGATGGTTGGTTTTTATTTGATTAAACCACAATAACAACAACAACAAATTCCTATTGTTTTAGTTTTAGTTCATTTTTCGTTCATCCAATTGATTTAGATTTCGATCAAATTAAAAAAAAGACGTAAAAACACACACATACACACACAAGGTTTGTAAGAAATAAACCATATTGATGTGTGTGTGTATAGATTTATTTATTTTTGGTAGAAACATTTAATTCACAAAATGTTTGTATAATCCGAATGAAAAATTCTTCAATGTTGATGCTTTGATCCTTTTAGATCATCATATTGAAGTTGTAGATGATGATGATGATGATGATGATCACAGATGTTCAACACAATGAATAATTCAATTTTTTTTTTGAAATGTTAAAAGCTAAACTTTTCAACATTCAATGTTGATGATGATATGGAAGACTTTTGTGAAGAAAGAAGTTTTGTTTCGTCGAAGAATCGTTTTGTTGAGATCGAAAAGTGTTTGAAGAAAAATAACTGTTGCCAAATGTGTGTCTGGTATGATGATGATGATGATAAAATAAACAACAGAATGAGAATGAGAAAACAAAAATTCATTAAACAAAACAAAATCAAATAAAAATAATTCACATCAAGTGATCTTTGATGATTTACGATAATCATCATTTCAAAAAAGAGAAAAATAGCGCGAATTTTTTTTTCGGAAAAAATAACATTCGAAACAAATATCGATTGTTTTGTTTGTTGAACATCGATTCGAATGTTTATAACATTCGAACTTGACCTTTTCTCCTGGCTCGGTGGATCTTATATCACAATCAAATTTTCATACAAGATTAAGATATGAGGAATTTCTTTCTTTTTTTTTGAAAAAGAATTATGACATCGTTTTTTTTTTCTTTTTGAAAATTGATGAAACAAGCCGCCATCGCCAGATGTTTACATCCATTTTGTTCGATGACCATGATCAATTTTTCTTTTTGAAGAAATCAATATCTGACAAATTACATCGTTCAATAAAATTCGTTATAATAGGCGTAAGGATTTTTTTAAAGAAAAATATGAAAAAAAACATCTTATCATTAAACATCACACACAAGGTGTTGGTCAAATTAAATCAACAACAACAAAAAAAAAATTTGATTGTCATCACCTTGATGCTTGTTTGGGTGTGTGTTTTTTCGAAGCAAAACAAGAAGAAGAAAAAAAATCCGGAAACCAAACTATTTTTTGAAAATCTTCCCGTAAAACAAAGATTTATGATTGATTTGAAATGAAAACTCGGTGTTTTAGGTGGACAGATTTTATGATTTTTTGTTGTTGTTTTCGAATGTTTTCATTCAACAACAACAACATAAAGTTCGAATTTGGCGCAATAAAACTTTGTTAATTAATTTGTTTGTTTGTTTGTTTGTTTACTGTCAAATAGTTCTGATGATTATCTGATTAAAGATGAATGTCTTTCCGGAAATTTTACAAATTAAAAGATAAAAAAATATGCCAACAATAATTGTTTGTGTAATAAAAAAAAATGGAAAATCTTTCGCAGAAACAAACTCACAGAAAAATTTCTTTGACTTTCAAGAAAATTTTGCTTGATGATGATGGTGATGAAATAAATTTCGGCAAAAAAAATATATAGTATCAAAGATCGTGGTTGGATGTGTTGTTTTATGATTGGATCCAAGACGGAAATCCACTCAACAACAACTTAATGACTATTTTTAGACATCAAAAAACAACAACAACGAAAAAAATTGTTTCAAACGAAGAGGTGATGATGATGAGAATCATCATGTTGAAAGATGAAAAGAACAATAACTATTATCGTTAATTTTTGTTTCTGTTTTCAGAAACGAAAGAAAAAGAAAAAGTAGTTAAAGGATTATTATCATCTTTGGAAAAAAGCGAAGAAGCTAAATCATTCAATCAATCAATTTCAATGGAAAATAAAAAGATTGATCTTTTTTTTTGTTGTTGAACCAGAAATTAGCCAGAAAAACTTTTCAATCTTTTTTTTTCCAAATTATTTTTATACATTACCGTTTTCTTTTTCTTTTTTTTTGTGCAAAAAAAGAACGAATGAAACTAATTAATCATAATCAAGATGATCTAAATGATTTTTGTTTTCGTTTGTTGTTTTTTTTTATCGTTCGAAACTATTTCAACACAAGATGATCTAATTGACAATTTCGTTTGTTTTTGTTTGTCGAAATAGATATGTGTATGCATTTTGTCGTTTTATCATTTGTTTGTTTTGTTTTTTCTTTGGAACATTTTTTTTTTTTTTTTTTTTTTTTTTTTTTTTTCCCCCTTTTTTTAAAAATTTTTTTTTATTAAAATTTGTATAGAACAAAAGGGGGA